TTCTTGTCGCTCGCTGGCCGAGCTCTGGCGCCTGCCCTCGGCAAGTCTCACCCCCCCCCCGTTTTAAGTCATTAAATAATCGATCACCTATTACGGTCAATCCGTGAAGTTACGGTGATTAGCTGACTGGCCTGGCTAGTCGTTAACGAGGGGTTTGATCACGGTTTAAGGTCTGTTGACTGCCAAGAACACAAATCTATTAGAGCAAAAGTAAAGGTAACTGTAGAAAGGTTATTGGGTTATACAAGGCGGCTTTTGTTTGTTTCCACCCAAACCGTGTGTTCACCTTCCCTTCACCTGGGCTCTAGGAGGCTGGAAACGTAGACTAACGTGGAACAGTGAACCTTGCGTGCAGGTTTACATGTAATCTAGACGGCAGGGATGGTCAGACTTGGTGACATGGAGTGGGGGTTAAGCAAGCCTCGGGGATGTGTGGCAGGGCAGAGGGAAGGTGGGGGGAGGGGCCGTGGAGGGGATAACGAGGTGAGGGGAGGGAGAGGTAATGGGGGGGGGGCGTGGAGGGGCTGAATGGGTGGAGGGGGAGGTAGGTGGCGTGAAGGCGTTGATGGGAGGGGAATGTAGGGGGCGTGGAGAGGTTGATGGGGGGGGGGGGGAGGTAGGGGGCGTGGAAGTTGTGCGTGTGTGTGGACAACATCTGTATACGTCTGTATTTATATTTTACTAGAGTCCTAAACTGTAATTAGGACGAAAGCATATTTTGTACGAGATAAGTATCAGAGACAATTAAATGGTTTCGAACCCTCGTACGTGGACTACGATGTGCCCGAGAAGTTGAGGGATGCGGGTGTGATACCATGGTAACTGCCTCGGTGTTTTCCGAGAGGCGTCACGTTGTGTAGCCGTTGTGTGTACTTGTGAGGTGGTCAGTAGGCTGGGTGTACAACCCGTGGCCGCCACAACCTTCACCTCGTTGGTAGGTCTAACCCCAAACTGGGGGGGCCCCGGATGTTCAGGGTCTGGGGGGGGGGGCCCCAGTGTTCAGGGTCTGGGGGGGGGGGCCCGGTGTTCAGGGTCTGGGGGGGGGGCCCGGTGTTCAGGGTCTGGGGGGGGGGGCCCCGGTGTTCAGGGTCTTGGGGGGGGGGCGATGTTCAGGGCGTTTGGGCCCCAGTGTTGTACAGAGCGTTAGAAGTTTGGTTACACAGATTAGGTATCGACTCGAGGAATGCATTTATTATATCAGCATCATACACTCTTCAAATTCGGTATGTATAAGATTATTTAAAAATGTCGGTCAAGATTGCCAGAAAGTATGATTTGGGCTCCCCGGGTCAGGCTCGCCACACACACACACACACACACACACACACACACACACACACACACACACACACACACACACAGAGGGCGACAGGCAAGAGGCACTGAACTACAGGCCAGTGTCCTTGACTTGTATACCATGCAAGGTGATGGAGAAGATCGTGAGAAAAAACCTGGTAACACATCTGGAGAGAAGGGACTTCGTGACAAATCGCCAACATGGATTCAGGGAGGGTAAATCTTGCCTTACAGGCTTGATAGAATTCTACGATCAGGTGACACAGATTAAGCAAGAAAGAGAGGGCTGGGCGGACTGCATTTTCTTGGATTGTCGGAAAGCCTTTGACACAGTACCGCATAAGAGGCTGGTACATAAGCTGGAGAGACAGGCAGGTGTAGCTGGTAAGGTGTTCCAGTGGATAAGGGAGTATCTAAGCAATAGGAAGCAGAGAGTTACGGTGAGGGGTGAGACCTCCGATTGGCGTGAAGTCACCAGTGGAGTCCCACAGGGCTCTGTACTCGGTCCTATCTTGTTTCTGATATATGTAAATGATCTCCCGGAGGGTATCGATTCATTTCTCTCAATGTTTGCGGACGATGCTAAAATTATGAGAAGGATTAAAACAGAAGATGACTGTTTGAGGCTTCAAGAAGACCTAGACAAGCTGAAGGAATGGTCGAACAAATGGTTGTTAGAGTTTAACCCAACCAAATGTAATGTAATGAAGATAGGTGTAGGGAGCAGGAGGCCAGATACAAGGTATCATCTGGGAGAGGAAATTCTTCAGGAGTCAGAGAAGGAAAAAGACTTGGGGGTTGATATCACGCCAGACCTGTCTCCTGCAGCACATATCAAGCGGATAACATCAGCGGCATATGCCAGGCTGGCCAACATACGAACGGCATTCAGAAACTTGTGTAAAGAATCATTCAGAACTTTGTATACCACATATGTCAGGCCAATCCTGGAGTATGCAGCCCCAGCATGGAGTCCATATCTAGTCAAGGATAAGACTAAACTGGAAAAGGTTCTAAGGTTTGCCACCAGACTAGTACCCGAGCTGAGAGGTATGAGCTACGAGGAGAGACTACGGGAATTAAACCTCACTTCGCTGGAAGACAGAAGAGTTAGGGGGGACATGATCACCACATTAAAGATTCTGAAGGGGATTGATAGGGTAGATAAAGACAGTCTATTTAACACAAGGGGCACACGTACTAGGGGACACAGGTGGAAACTGAGTGCCCAAATGAGCCACAGAGTTATTAGAAAGAACTTTTTTAGTGTCAGAGTGGTTGACAAATGGAATGCATTAGGAAGTGATGTGGTGGAGGCTGACTCCATACACAGTTTCAAGTGTAGATATGACAGAGCCCGATAGGCTCAGGAATATGTACACCTGTTGATTGACGGTTGAGAGGCGGGACCAAAGAGCCAGAGCTCAACCCCCGCAAACACAACTAGGTGAGTACAACTAGGTGAGTACACACACATCCCTGCTGGAAAGTGGGTTCAACTTTAGCGCTGATTGGTTGCTTAATCTTGCCTGCACTTAAGGGTTGCAATAGTGTAATGAATAGTCTTCGTAAATTGATCTGCTGGAAAAAGAAACTTAGATTTAGGACGCTTTACTGGTAAATGTTTCGGAAATAAGAGGCTAGTCGGATCTTAATGTTTGTAGAAAAGCGAATGGTAGGTGTGGTGGTGCCGGCGGCTCCCGTACACGCTCCGCCCAGCCTCCTTACCATCGAAGTAACCCGCTTACTTCGATGGTATATACTTCGTTCAGGGTTAGTTAGTTCAGGGTATAACTAACCCGCTTAGTTATACCCTGTCCGGGGAAACTGCCCTTATTTATAAGCGTTTTGTGCAGACTGGAATATCTCCCGATAAGAAAGAAAATGGGAAAATCAGTCTAGTCTCCTCCTCGCACTCCTCACTCGCGAGAGCTTAACACTGTCCTCACGGAAGTGTTCTCGTGTCAGATCAAAGGCACTCGTAATTCAGCTTATATTCAGATTAGAGGGACTCACTGTTGCTAAATTTAGGAGTTTAAGACGATGTGTTGTACACTAGACTTAGGGTGAGGGAGGGTGGCGGCCACTTGCTCTAATTGTATCCCCCTTTACCTTCATGTTCTTTCTCAAGGATAATTTTGTAAAATGAAATGTGACAGCACAAGTCAAACATAATAACAGAAATCTCACAAATTAATACTCCTAAAAGGGAAGGAGTTTAGAGAGTGAGTAATACTAGGGATCACGCCACAACAGGGGGGGGGGCGAGCTGCTGCTAATCAGGGGATCTGGGCGAGTCACGACGCAGTTGGACATAATTCCTTCTAATTTTGCTCCAGTTGTTGTTTCTGGGATTGTGCTCACGAGTCCGTGGTTCGCGTTCACTTTGCTTGCACTATTAACTAAATGGAAGGTTTTAAGGGTAATCGGTCTTGCTTTAATGCTTGCTTGCTGCCCGAAACGCTTTGCGTAATAGTGGCTTTAGGCACTGTATGTACTAGGTCTATCTATAAATCTATCAATTTATGTAAAATCTCATGTATGTATGTACCTTACCTGAATAAACATTAATAATTTGCGACAGCCTGCGCGCGGTTTGAAATGTTTTGAATATTCTGATTTGAACTGATAAACTAATAATAATTTTTTTTCTACCATAAATCTATAACGCTTGAAAATGATTAATGTTGTATATCGGTTGTTGATTCATTCCTTGTCATATTATTGGAATGTTGTTTGAGATGGATATTGATATTGTGAAAAATGGTTTGTTTACTAGTCCAGGTAATTTAAATTTAACAAGCTGTGGGTTCTTGAGGAAATGAGGACCGCCGTTCCATCAAATACATACATATATATTCGTTAGTAATAAGGCTATGAAATACACGATTCACTTAAAGTATGTCGACGTATTTTTTGGGCAGCTTTTCTTCAAATTACTCGTCTTCTATCAGATAATTCAAAAAATAATGCTTATAATAATTAGTTCAACGTTCAAAATTTAGTTTTACTTCCAAAGTTCGTTGTGTACTATTGCAATACACCAAATTGCACGCTAAAGATGACACACTATGCATCCTAACCTTTTCTAGGCATAAATTTGATATATTAAGACTAATATACATTTTGGGCTTGATTTTACTGAATTTGTGCTATACTGTACTTGGACAATGAAATATTAGGGCTTTTGTCAATTTTCTCGTGACCTCTTAAAAACCAATAGTACAGAATGTGAATATTCTGGAAGTGCAGCCGTCCACTTTACGTTCAACCAAGTCAACCAGTCGTGTTATTTTTGGATGACTTGCAATGGTGGTTATGGTTGCAGTATCTGCCACAGACAGTGCATTAAGTGTGAGGACAGGGTGTTGACGTGCTCCTAGCTAGGACAGTATATTTGTCTTGACATATTGTGCAGCCATTTTCTGCAACAGAATGCCTCAATATATCTTCGTGACACTTCAATCTTCTATAGATGTATCTTGTAGATAATTATTGTATGATCATCTGGCAATCCACTTGAACTTTATTAGTGATCTGTTATCATAAAGTGAGTGAAACGCCGCGTGTATTTAGTGGCTTCATAACATACACAAATACTGTACCCACTAAATCACCAAACTGGTCCTTTGTGTATGTTATAAATACAATGTATTATAATGGGCGGTTGTGAGGCAGTGTAGACTAACAATTATTATTTGCAGGCTCGTCTGCGGGAGCAGCTGATGGTGGAGAAGGAGTCCCGGCTGCTGCAGATGGCTGCGCGGCACGAGGCTGAGCGGGAGGGCACCATCCAGAGGGTCACAAAGTCCTCCGCCTCCACGCTGTCCTCCTCCCTCTCCTCGCTCTCCTCCCTCAACTCCTCCGGCGGCCAGGGACGCGTCAGGAAGCTCTTCCAGGAGCGGAGGAGCAATGGGTATGGTCACAGCCCCGTCGGGCGAGACAAGAGCTACCCTCTGGAGCCCGTGAGGGGCGGCAGCACGGGCGTTGGTCGCCCGCCGGTAAAACCACCCGTCAAGGGCATCGTTCGCACCCGCGGCGTGAGCGTTGACCGAGGCAAGGTCAACTATGACCCGGATGTGATGAAGCGGTCAAGAAGCCACGCCGCCCTCCAGCAGAACGGCAACTTGAACAGTGAGCCACGCTCTCCAGGTCGAGGTCTCCGGCCGCCACAGACGCGGCCGCCCGCCCACCACAAGTCCACCTCCTCCCTGCTAGATGCCAACCAAAACTACAACGGGCGTGGCAGCAGCACGGGCAGCAGCGGCGGCTACAGCAGGGACCCCTCGCCCGCCCCCTCCCCTTCACCCTCAAACGCTAATCGCTTTGGCTTCCGTCAGACTCCCTCGAGGGGAGCCTCGCCCGCGCCGCCCTCGGTCAACGGGTCTCCTGTGAGAGTGGCGCCCACACAAGGCCCTCGTAAGCCCCAGAGCTTCAGACAAGACGAGACTGACGGAGCGCCCCCAAGCCAGCCGCGTCAACGCCCCGCCCCGCCCGCACGTAAACCCCCCGTCAGACAACCACGACAACCTCCCCCGCAGCGAAGACCGCCGCCACCGCCAGCCGACGACGACGACACCAGCGACGCCGTCCTCAGTCATCGACCACCCGACAGTCCGGTAAGTCCACACAGTGTTAGGGTGCTGGTCGGGCTGGTATGTACTAGTCATACTGGCTTGGTGCTCTATCCTCATAATTTCCTTATGTACAAAATTACAAAATGTCTCAAATCTAATTTAAAAAAACTTAAATTGGAAATTACATAAATCTTGACACTTTAAATGTAATTGTACGAGAAATCATTTATATATGCACAGTCTGTTCTCAACCGTAAGGTCCCGGGTTAGATTCTCGTGCAAGACGGTGTCGTATGGGTAAGTTTCCTTTCATCTGATGCCGCTGTTCACCATCTTGACGTTATCTTGAGATGATTTCGGGGCTTAGAGTCCCCGCGGCCTGGTCCTAGACCAGGCCTTTTTTTTGTTACACATCCCCAGGAAGCAGCCCGTAGCAGCTGTCTAACTCCCAGGTACCTATTTACTGCTAGGTAACAGGAGAATCAGGGTGAAAGAAACCTTTTACCCATTTGTCTCCGCCTCCACCGGGGATCAAACCCGGATCCTCTGGACTATGAATCCGAAGCGCTGTCCACTCAGCTGTTAGGTGCCCCTGTGGGCTGTCAGGGGCACCTGACAGCCCCTAACACCATAGCAGTAAATATAGTTTAGAGTTAGGGAAGTGTTGTAGGCTGCATCCTAAGCAAAATCAATATTTAGAGGGGCCTATACACGCCAAAAAGGCTTCGTTTCTCCTACAATAGGACACCAAATAGTTTCCCGCCACTCCCGGGCGCTTGAACGCCGCTGTCCAGCAAAGTAACTTCGGTATATATGGTAAGGCCGAGCAGTAGTAACCCTGGCTCGGGTAACTCATTCTTCATTCTATCGACAGCACTAGTTGAAGGTTGGTATGAATTGTTTAGTGCCCCCCCCCCCCTGCTCGCGCCGGGGACGATGGCTGTGACACTAGAGTTCTTTGTTGATACCACGTATAAATAGTGTGCTCCAGCGTGGGTCATGATCAGCCTTTAGTACTTTTACTGATCTCGTATCTCCCGGTGAGATATTTAATTCATTATCAGTAAAAAAATTAATGTTTTATCATTATTTAATTTTAAAGTTTGTTGACGGTGAAAAGGGCCTCGACATGGTCGACATGGCAAGTTATTTCTACTTACTTTTGTTGAGAATGTTAAATACTCGTGGCAAAGTCCGTAGAGTTTTGCAAGATGTTTTATATCATAATTGTATTCGAGGGTTCATGGCATCCTCATAATGCACCTCAGTGTCTGCCAGTGTAGACTACTTATCACATGTCTCTGAATTGAATTGTTGCCGCCGGAGGCGGCTAGTTTGTGCACCCCATACTCATCCTGTGAGCAGTAGCGCAAAAAGCATTTCAGAGGGCCCCTGTATGACTAACCATCCTGCGTATTGCAGCTCCGGTAAACCTCTTGTTGTAATTTTGTTTAATCCTGTAAAAATATAGCTGCAAACCTAACTGATTCCTAGGCCTAGTATAGCACCTAGTGCTATACTAGGCCAAAGAAAGCGTGCATTAGGCCTAGTATTGCTCAGAGCTCGTGTAGGTCAAGTCTTTGTTGCTAATAAGAAAAATAGCGAACGGTTTGTCTAAATTCCATAATACGAAAGTCAACTTTTTGGTGGTCCATCCCGGTACTTTCTATCATATAGTTACTATATGGACGTTAATTTTAGGAGCATGAGCGGCATGTGTACATTATAGGACGTGTACATGTGCGCGCTTAAGTTGTCGCGTGCACGGATTCGCACGTGTTCTTTTTAGGACGAGTGGGGAGGGGAGGAGGGTGGTCGTCTTTGTCTTGGGTTCAAGACTGTGAATGCTGGATAGGTTTGATCAACTTCGACACAGGCAATTTGTTAGTTTAATATAGCGATGCAAAACAATTCTTTATACACGAGAGACAGACAGACAGACATATTGCTTCCCACTTTCCTCCCGGGGTGGTGTTACGGGGGCCGGCGAGCACTGGCAGCCCCACCTCCTCGTGCGCGCGCACCCGACTAATGCCTCATTTACCCGCCAAGCAGTGTTTGTAAACACTTGCTGGTCCTCGGTCACCTAGTGTTGTTACATAGTGGCCTTGTACATACATACATACATACATATATATACATGCATACATATATAATGTAGTATATATATATATATATAATTGTGTAAAGTGTATGGAACTATTAAATCTTTAAACTCAAAATTCCTGTTCAGCTGAAGTGGAAAAGGCTTTTGAGGGCGAAGTGAACTTGGAAATACGTATCATGGGTTGTATGTCGGATAACTGTGATGAAAGCAATGTGAAAGCTTAGTTGAAGTGCGTTGTTGATATCCAAAGCTGAACGCTCTCATGAAAGGACCAAGTCGACCGATCAAACGGAATAGCGCAGTGTGAACGCAAAGGCGCGCGGTGTGTGGGGAGCGTTGGATACATCTTACATGGTGACGCACATTACGTGGTGACACATGCTTGAAGAAAACCTCACTTCCGTGTAATGAAACGTGTGGAGTATATTGATTAGTGAGATGCTTGTGGACAGGTGGGACGAGGACTGGCCCAGCTTTCGTGTGTGGTGGACCGGTGAGGCGAGGTCTGGCCCAGCTTTTAAGCCGCGTATAAAGGCTTTGCTCGCTTATTTTTCCCATAATCGGCTTTGTTCACAAGTGGAGTAAATTTATTTATATTGTAGCTCAGGCTGGTTCGCCGGAGAACATGCGCCTCGACTCTGACCGCATCACATTTATCTATAATGTATCAATATCCACTCTATGACCCCTTAATGTGGCTGGTCGCAGAGGTGGAAGCCCAGTACTATACCCCCACTGCCAGCACTGGGATATCAATACAGGTAGGCTGTGGGGGGTCCACCTGCACCCATTACTCTCTCGTGGAGAGTCAGTAAGGATATTGTATCCATCCCTCGACCGGATAGATCTTGAATGCTCTTCACCAAACTGAATGTTCCTACAGCTGTGTGTAGGAACTTGAATGGTCCCCCAAGCTAAGATTTGCAGTAGCGACCCGGGATAGCCAACAAGGCACTGGGAACTATAGATCTCAGGAAAACAACAATCCTAGCTAGCGTACTCTTGAAAGGTTTTAAGTCACCCGGACACGTGTCCTCAAAGATGTCAGGCACTCGATCATTCATTCATCGTTGGTCTCATTCTGAGGGTGAATGGCACCAATACGTCATTTCTTGTCCTTTTTTAATAACGACAAAATTAAATTTACCAATCCAGAAGGTCTGGGCTATAACAACATTGGTGTGACAGCTACGTTTGACAGGTTGTAGCGCGGTCACTTTGATGGCACCTGTAATAGGGCCGTCGTGTGGGGTCACTAGTCCCGCCGGCACCTCCCCCACCTGCACCTCCACCACCTGCACCTCCACCACCTGCACCTCCCCCACCTGCACCTCCACCACCTGCACCTCCCCCACCTGCACCTCCACCACCTGCACCCCCCCCACCTGCACCTCCCCACCTGCACCTCCCCCACCTGCACCCCCACCACCTGCACCCCCCCACCTGCACCTCCCCCACCTGCACCTCCACCACCTGCACCTCCACCACCTGCACCCCCACCACCTGCACCCCCACCACCTCCCCCACCTGCACCTCCCCCACCTGCACCTCCCCCACCTGCACCTCCCCCACCTGCACCTGCACCCCCCCACCTGCACCTCCCCCACCTGCACCTCCCCCACCTGCACCTCCCCCACCTGCACCTCCACCACGAGAAAGGAGAACGTGAATTTGGTTACTTCTTCATTGCATGCTTTTTGATGTTCGTGATTTCCTATCCCTGATTGGCATTAATTTGGATTCCTAGATGTTCTTAGTTTTCTACATACTTCTGTAATAAATTTTATTGTATGTATTCATAGCCAAGTATCGATATAGAGGTTGCACACGATCAGTATTCGCTGCACCATTGTAAAAGGTTAAGCAGGTGCATCTGCCCACAGCTTGCTCTCAACACCTGTGGTTAACACGTGTGCTCTGACAACACTGCCAGACGGAGTGTGTGTGGCTCAAGTAGTCGTTCCAGCTTATCAAAGGACAGGTGACAGACTATGAATAATTTACTAGTGATGATAGTGATGATACTCTTTATCACAGGTTCTGCAGCGCAACACAACCGTGTGTTGTACACGTCACCAATGATCACGACGCTAAATAATTTATTATTCAGTTAGTCTTCCAATAGGTTTGCAGTGGGTTAAAGTTCTTTATTTCTCTAAATACATTCGTTGCACGTTTGTTTGTATTTTAACTAATTTCGGAAAATACAGTACAGACCATGCCTCGTTATTACTGTTCTACTTTGTATGAAATACTCTTAAATATAATTAATTTTAATAATCCCGCCGCTTATAGCGAAGCGTTGAGTCATATAGTGGCTACCACGTGCAGGGGGAAGGGGGGGGGGGGGCTGGGCGCGTTCGTTAGCCCCTTATCGATCAATAAAACCTGGCGGCAGGTGTTGAGCAGTTGTTGTCTGTCTGTCTGGCTTACCTGGTGTCAGTGACCCCCCCCTCACCCCTCCCTAAGGGGTGAGGGGGGTCGACTGCCAACACTTGCTCTATATCGCGTATATTTATTTTCAAACTACTTAATAATGTTTGGAGCTGGTCCAACACTGTTTTAATACATGTTGATATGTTGTTTCCATTAATTAAAAACTTAAGGCTTGAATATTAAGAAGTTGGTTTGGTGAAGGGTTGTCCTCCTCTTGGAGGGTTAAGGTCGCCTCAATAGCTTAGTGACCCACTAGTAAGCCTGTTGTTGTCCAGGACAAAGGTCCAGGACAAAGGTCCAGGACAAAGGTCCAGGACGTAAGTGTACACATAGTGCACAGAGGTTCACATCCCGGTGTGTACATCCTTGTTCACAAACCAATTAACAAATGGTTTGGCGTTGGCCTCAATACCCACTGGAGTTAATACCCACTGGGAGGGCATTAAGATGACAGCAATTATTCTCTGACCAACCAGCAAGAATACTTTGGATTTGGTCATGGTCCAGAGTCAAAGTAATCTCTATATATATATCCACTGAAAAGCTGGGTACATCTATCCGGGTTTATATATATATATATATATCCCTATGCACTACCATTATGCGTGCGCCCACATTTCCCTACACAGGTGAGTACAGGAACAGTAAACTACCGACTCCTGTTAGCAGGCTGAGAGCTCTCTTCCCATAACTAACCCACTAGTTTCCCTGTAATATGGTTCAACCACCAGGTGCCCAATCACTACTAGGTGAACAGAGGCGTACAGTTGAGGATTGGCGCCCAGTCACTCCTCCCCGGCCGGGAAACGAATCTTATCCCAACCGCTCGTGAAGCGCGAGTGTTGCCACTGCGCCGCTGGGTCCCTTCTTTGACCAAGTTGGTGGAGGCGCAAAATTGTTGACCATTCAGAGGTGTGGAAGCGTCGTGCTCTGTGTAATGTAGCCCGTTTTCTCTCCCCTGCAAGGGGATACCAACTTGATTTTCTTACAATATATTAGTCTAAAGTTAGTTTTTTTTTGTGTAATATCAATTTATTTCTTGGTTATAATTAACGGTAATGTTGGTGTTTTTGATCGTGTTTTAACTCCTAGTTAAATACAACAAAATTAAGCCTGTACTTAAAGGGAATTAAACTAAAAACTAGAGACGCTGCTAAGGTAGTTAAATATTCTGCCAGAGTTGGAGGCATATATGAATGAATTGCAATTTATCTAGTGCCGAGCTGTATTAAGATGATTTAATATTGGACTAAACACACTGAGAACTGGATAAAGTTGTGTTGCGACTTAACCAAACCATACACGAGACGTGCGGTCAGCACTTAGTGGAAGCTGCAGATATGACAAGTTCTTAGCTGTCAAGTCTTAAGAGAGACCAACCAAGACCTCGCCAAGAAGACCCGGGGCCACGCCGGCGGCTGGTGGCAGCTGAATCGTTAACAGGAAAACTGATGATAGTTCGTCAGTAGCGTCTTCATTGTCGAGAGTTGGAATATGGGGTGTGCAGCGGTGAGCTGATTTGTCCTCTTGTTTTTTTTTTTAAATTAGTACTATGCTTAGTTAATTTCCTAGTGAATAATTAACAAATCGGTAAGAAATAATGATATAACATTTGGTCATTGATAGCTGCTAGGTTAGGATGTTGGAAAAGTAATTCGCCAAAGTATACGTTTCAGTTTTATTGGGCCTGACTGTTTATTGAGGATTAGCTTGGGTGAAGCTCGTTATAATCATCGGAGCGAGAGTGTGAGAGATGTTTGATGAGACATGTTCCCCAGTCAAGGGGACGGTTATTGTACCATGTATTCAGTCAGGCCGGAGCAGGTGTGGTACACACTGGGAGTAACGTCTTGGTCATGGAGATGGTAGGGTGGACCTGAGCGCGACATGCATGATACTTCTCGAACTTGTGTGGTTAAGGCATGGCTAAAGAGCTACTCATCTCTCCTATTGATGTTATACGTGTAGAGTATTCGGGCGTTATCTTGAGGTTATCTTGATGATTTCGGGGCTTTTTAGTGTCCCCGCGGCCCGGTCCTCGACCAGGCCTCCTCCCCCAGGAAGCAGCCCGTGACAGCTGATTAACACCCAGGTACCTATTTTACTGCTAGGTAACAGGGGCATAGGGTGAAAGAAACTCTGCCTATTGTTTCTCCCCGGTGCCTGGTGCTGTCCGCTCGGTCGACCGGCGTCGTTGATTGTGATATCTGATGGTCAGGTTGTGTGTACAAATGATCAAATCTCTCGTAAATCTTCTCGTGGAGATTTTTTGTTTGTACACAAGTCACTTTTAAAGGTGTTGTCTTGCCTGTAAATCGAGAGCCTTGCAGCTGGAAGATGTGTAGTGGGGCTGCTAAAGGCATAAGACATTGTCTTGAGCCATTTGTGTGTCTGGACAGTTCTTCACGAGCAAGTTGGGGGGGGGGGGCGTTCTTACTCTCGCAGAACAGCTGCCAATTTGTTTATGATGAACACCTTAAAAAGTCAAATTATTGTTCATATTACCGTTCCAAAAGCATAACTGCTTTCATCATCAGAAGTTAAGGTCACGTTTAAGCAATTGATCAAAAACATTTATAAATATCTAAATTATATCACGGGGTTAGGTTTAAAGTTTTTAAAAGTTTAAACACGATAAAAAAAATATCGTGAATTGAAGCAATAAATGACAAAGATGTCAATATACCATCAAGGTGGAGAGGGATCAACGCCCCCCCCCCCCCCCCCGCTCACACCACTCACACTCAACGCTAAAATCTGTTGGTCATTCAAAAAATATAAATTACATATTTTAATTGAAAATGAAAAGGCATTATAAGATGATAGAAAACCCCCCAAAGCACCAGATTAAAGTAATACAAATACTAGAATAATAACGTAGTTTAGGAATTTAAGTTTAGCAAATTATTGACATTGGTAGTTTTTAAATCATTCCATTTTCATGAAATATATAAATATTTTTAGTTTATGGTTTTTCGGATGATGAGATAATTATTGACCTGTGGTAGTTTAATGGTGCCTGTTACCGGAGACTGCCTGGCTGCTATAGGGGTAATATTATTGTACATGGTGATCCCGCAAGAATGTTGACCCTTGCCCAGGGATGACGGGGGCCCATAGACCATCCTGGTCCAGCTGGTAGTGTGCGCACTTGAGGGGTCCAGGGACGCAGGTTCGACTCCGTTGCATGGCTTCAATATTTTCTCACATAAAAGTGGCTACAGTCGCATATACAGTGAAAACAAGTCCAGATTAGTGGTGACCTGGGTTGGTGGGGGGTTGGCCCCGCACCGTAAGGTCACCACCTACAACCTGGCCTCCTACAAAGAACGTCGCTTTTCGATCGTATGTGTTACAGTAAACCAAAAATTGTCGTACTAGGAAATGAAAGCGGCTCACGAAAGTGACCTACTGCCCCGTTTTCTGTTTTGGGTCCTCTGACTTAGTCTGGTAGGTTAGGAGAGGACACTTTAAGTTAACCGTTTTCTGGACGTTGGGAACCCTTAGGAGGCCGGGCTGGCACTCCACCAGTCACCCCAACCGTGGCTTGAGTGGTCACTGACGGCACCCTTTGACTCGCAGAATATGTAATACGGCGATACATGAGCAAGTATACATAGGTGTTAGTGTTTGGGATACATTAGCAAGCCTATGAGCAATGTATACCACCCACTAGTTGAGTGTAATGATTGAAAGCTTATCAACTGGACAGTTAGGATGCCATCTTCAACTTTTCAATTTGGGGACAAGCCAATATCAAACTTGTGTACCAATTAGAATGTTTAGTCATGTCTATAAACTGACACAAGCCAACAGCTAGTTTAAGGTGCTTTGGATGTACGTATATCATTGTTTATATATGATTTATTCTTGTATAGTTTTTATTACAAGCCATACCATTTCAGAGCAAGCCGAGCGTGCGAGGGGCCCCGCCTGCCAGGACCAAGCCCAAGCCGCCTCCCAAACCCAAGGTGACTATGACTGTAGCTCACACGAGCCACAGGGACGTTAGAAAGAACATTTTCAGTGTCAGAGTAGTTAACAGGTGGAATGCATTAGGTAGTGATGTGGTGGAGGCTGACTCCATACACAGTTTTAAGTGTAGATATGATAGAGCCCAGTAGGCCCAGGAATCTGTAAACCAGTTGATTGACAGTTGAGAGGCGGGACCAAAAAGCCAGAGCTCAACCTCCGCAAGCACATTTAGGTGAGTACAGGACTCTCTGGCTTAGAGAATTGTGGGCGACATTTAATATTAACACGCGGATCCTGGACGTGAGTTGTGACGACTAATTCAACTCTGGCGTGTTGATCCCATAGAGTTGTATAATATATCGATTCCGTATACACTACATGTGTAAAGCTTGAATGGTTCCCAAGCCACGAACACCTGTAAACAATGACTCCTGAAGGACTCAAACCCGGTTAGGCAGGGTACCATCCCTCTGGCAGTTCAGTACTGCAACCACTCGTCCAGCGAGTGTCAGGTGTTGGGAGACCTACATACACCCGACAACACACCTGGCATATTTTTGGGGCCAGTTGTATCATCAAATCACTCGACCACGCTAGCATGCTGAAGAGTGCCAGTGGTGTTGTCGGGGGCGTGTAGGGGTTAGCCTTCCCAACTCCTGACACTCGCTGGACGAGTGGTTTTAGTACCGAACTGCCATGGTCCCCTGCCGAGCCGGGTTCGAATCCTTCAAGGGTCAGAGTTTAGTTATCCAGTATACCGTGTGTATACATTTTGTAATAACACTTCTTGTAATCATGTTTCTTAACGTTGTTTTGTTAGTCAAATGATGCCGAGAGGCGCTGATGAAATATTTAGAATTTAATAACAATGTGAGGGTACTTGAGGGAGGGTATTTGAGCCCAGTACTATACAGTACTGGGCTCAAATATAAGGTATACGTCCTTGGGTTATTTTTATCGTGGTTTAGATCATCTGCATAACAATTGCAACAGTAATATTAATACCTAACAACAACAACAACGACGACTACTACGATATACAGAACAGTATTCGACAAATGTTATTTCTGGCATATTAGTAAGAATCCTGTACATGTGTGATTAAACATTTCCAGCTGTATAGTATTCTCACAAATAAAGACGTTGATTACGTTAATTAACCCTGAGGTTAATTCTAACGAGACTTGTGAGAAGAAAAGTTAATTTTAAAAATGAGAATTACTTGAGCAATAATTCCGGAAAGGAAGAAGTTTGGCAGTACTGTGGTACTCGTTATATATGTAAAATAGTGTATGGTTGTGTGTCCAAGGCTGGCCAGAGCCTTGATTCTATCCTCATTACACTATGGGTGGTGGGTAGTTGGGGGGGGGGGGGGAGGGGGGGGGGGCTAGCCAACTTATGGTTAGTCACAAGTTGGTTGGGTTCGTCCTTACTTCCCCCCCCCCCCACCCACCTTCCCTCCCCTCCTTAAGAGATATCGGCCCTATTGGCACAAACCTTTAGAGTAGGTCTGAATACAGTTGGTAGGCCTAGAGTAGGCCTGAGCACAGTTGGGTACCCTCATCAATATAATGTAGGTGAAGTAACATAAGTTAAATTACAGAAGAATTTCTTTATATTCTTAATAATTAGTAAGGTTTTGTATAATATATACTCTGAAGTATTATTGGGTAGCTGATGTGATAGGTCTGTGATGAGCTTGACTATTTAATATTTCCGTATGGATAGGTTATTGAAATCTCGAAATATAACTCCATATTTTACAGCATTGGTACAAATACCTGATTAACGAGGGAATTTACCATTTAGTATAGCTAATATATGCGGTTTGTGTTGTTGAATTACGCATTTACTAACCACAATTTGACCTTTCTTTACCTAGTTCGATAGTGAGGAAACGGAGGAGAGTTCTGAGGAGGTAATCACACACGAGTCAATAATTCTCCTGATATCGGTGTGCCTGGCTAAACACTATTTTTATATGTTGCATTTTGATGTATTTTATAAAAGTTATCCTCTCCTCAAAGTGAGACTGCATTCAGCCTGCACTGTTTAGGAAAAAGGTGCATTTCTAGTTTAATCATTACCTTATAGCAAAGAAACTGCATTTCTAGAATAGTACTTGTAGCACTGCATTTTCTGTTGCTTTTATCTTTAGTATGTAAAATATATATAAACCTTTTTTTAATTTCCATTCAGCATGAGATAATAGAACTAGATATGTTTTTATTTGTTCTACAATGACAACTGTTTTCCCAGACTCTTACAGTTGTATTGTAATGTTGTGGTTCACAACGTGACCACAACGTTGTTTCAGGTAGTTGCAAGCTAGCGTTAAGTAACGTTGTAGTTACGGTGCGTGGTGGTGGCACTGTGCGTCCGGGTCACATACGGGTGTGGCCTTGTATGCATGCCAGTGATTCACCTCTTTATGAGCAGAAATGTTATGTTTATCATTAGTTTTTACTCAGAACATATTGATAAAATTCGTTCAGTCGTTTAATTGGGACCTTCACTATAGTGACTTGCATATTAAAGCATCATTTAACATATTGTTCATTAGACTTTGCCATGGATTGAGTATAGGTTGTTAATTCTCTTCGAAATTATTAGTTCTATGCTTCTGCTTGAGTTCTGATACTAGTTAAATAAACTAACAAGATGTCAAATCTTGACAGTTAATTGTATGACCTAAGATGTTGTATATAGTAAGAATTACATAGCAAGAGTGACGGAGCTGGATAAGACCACATCAACCTGCCCACACACACGGGATAGCTTTGCAAATCTAAACAAATTCTATCTAAACACTTGAATAGGAGAGTGCTTGCTATACCCCTGAAGTTCAACAACACTCTGAAATCATTAGTATATGATTGACTTAATAACTAATGTATTGATTCAATCAGTACGGCTGCATGGGTGGAGATTTAGCATCTTATAAATATATTATGTATTTGAAATACTGTTCAGTTTTATTTCGGTAATGCAACAGTTTACAGTAGCATCCATGTCATTTACAGGCAATATTATTGTATGCAAATTGTTCTGTTGACTTCAGAGTGAAACAATTTGTATGTAAAATTCTCACTTTAATGATACAAAATTTTGTTTGAACGTTTCAAGACAAATGTCCTTCACTCAAGTATCTGCAAATTGTTGCACCCTTGGATATAATATATAATGTATAATATATAATATAATGTATAATATAAGTGTTGACGGAAGGAGGAAACACATTAATGAACACATACACGTAGGCCATCTCACCGTGAGGAGCTGTTGTTTAAGATTCGCTACTTGCAACAAAAAGTTCCAAGTAGCACGGGCTATGGTGAGCCCGTAGTGGAGCGTGTGTGTGTGTGTGTGTGTGTGTGTGTGTGTGGTGTACTCTTGTCCTAAGTAACACGAGTGCCTGTACTGTGTACATGTTTCAGAACGCCCCAGCTGCCTCTCCACGGGCCTCCAAGCCGCCCCCAGGACTGGAGAGTTGTAAGATTTGTGGCCGCAACTTCGCTCCAGATCGGTTAGAAAAGCACGAAACTATCTGCGCAAAGTCTCAAGCAAAGTCCAAGAAACGAAAGGTAAGCTGAACTCTTAATATATTTTGTCTAGATTACGTATTATACTATTAGTATAGCAAATATATTACTCTTAATATATTTTTTGTCTCGGTTTTATAAGAGATACAGTTGGTTATAACGTTAATATATATCACAGCTTAAATGCAACTTGAATTATAAATTCAAAATTCAAATGTTTATTCGGGTAAAGTACATACATACAAGGTGCGATACAAACATTGATGGATTTATAGATAGAGCTAGTAGATACAATGCCTAAAGCCACTATTACCCAAAGCGTTTCGGTTAAAGCGTTATCAATATAATTTGCAAGTAGCCTCTCCACTTTATAAGTAATGTGTATTTGGATACATTTTTTAGATTCTTTAGCTAACGTTAGTCTAATTTCTCTCGTGCAAACTTTTACATTTGTAAGGTATTTAAAGTATATCTTTAGGTTTACTAAGAACATTCCAAGTTTTAAGTAAATCAGAGCTCGTGATCTCTGCCTCACTATGGACATATAACTTTAGAGAAGGTTTTCCGTATATCTCCTGGATTTCAAGATGGCACTGGCAAAGTATGCACATTACTTTCCATACTTTGGTTTTCTTCCTGAATGTTTATAAATAGTGCTTAATTTCATAACTCTAACGAATTCGCTATAAAGCACAGTAATATTAAAGTAGCATCTTTAGTGTCTTGTCAAGCATAGGTATGGCTAAGGTAAATGAGGAGAAAGCGCCAAGTCAGTGTGCCGATACAAATTGTAAAATACAGTGGAAAGAATGAAGAATACACTACAATAAAAATAATGCCCTATAAAATTTGGCATGTGCTCTGTTAATGAAAATCTTAAGAGTATAATCCTTGGTGTTGCCTTCATAAATTATACCATGTGAACTCTTATAATAATACTTGATGCGTTAACACGTCGTATTTGTTGTGTTTTGTCTTTGGCTTAACCCAAGGAGGTGCTCGTGTGTAACTTTCATTGAAACTTTGGTTGAAATATAACCACACTTAAAGGTATAACATAATTCACAAATAACTTCAGTGTATAGATGTGTGTATATTTACCTTCTGAAGCTACAGAGATGGAATGTATAAAATAAGTGTTGAAACCACACAGTGCACATTTTGTATTATTAAAATACTAAATGGGAAATAAGACCAATCTTAGGCCCAATATAGATATGCACTGTTAGGTATAATGCTGTACAATTAGATCTAGGTTGGGTTGCCTTCTTTCTCTGACCCTCTAAAAATTTGTTGTACGGAATTTTCATTATGTATACGTACTGTAGCTATATATATATATATATATATATATATATATATATATATATATATATATATATATATATATATATATATATATAGTAGCCAGAACTCACTTATGAGCCTACTATGCAAGGCCCGATATATAACCTAACTTTCCTGCTACCTAACCTAACCTATAGAGATAGGTTATAGGTTAGGTAGGTTGGTTAGGTTCGGTCATATATCTACGTTATTTAACTCCAATAAAAAATTGACCTATACATATATATAGCTTTATCATTTCATAAGAAAAAAATTATAGAAAATATATATCAGGAAAACTTGGCTTATTAGGCAAATCGGGCCTTGCATTGTAGGCTGAAAAGTGAGTTCTGGCTACTAGGTACGACATATATATATATATATATATATATATATATATATATATATATATATATATATATATATATATATATATATATATATATATATAATATAATATAATATATAAATAAATAAAATACTCAATTATTAAAATTTGTATTCATGAATTGTCATATTTGAATTCATTGAAAATGCCTCATAACTCAAGCTGTTCATCCTAGACTGGTTCATTTTAAGCTTCATATAATAGTAGCACTGAGCCTCTTTGTATTTAATTTCTATATCCAATTATTTTGTATCTATTTTTATCTTCTCGTTGGAACATAAAGAAGGTTGGTGAGACTCTTGTTTTGTTTACAGTGTGTCTTTACTGCCATAGTCATCAGTGTGTGTGTGTCATCAGCATGTGTTTTGACAAGTACTGGTGTACTGTACTTCTTAGTGTATGTATTCTGGGGTTTACCGTACCTCCCTCCACGCACCCCTGTGCCTGTGGTGTACAATGAGTGGGATGAGAGGGGTGGGTGGTGGTGAGAATATTCTCTCTAGCCTACTTCATAGCTCCTCAGAATTGTTCAGTACATTTACTCCATTTGTGTGTGTGTGTGTGTGTGAGAGATCTTTCACTGCTTATTCGCGAACTGTTTGCAGGTATTGCGTTGCGTGGAGCGTCTCCAGCACCGTCACACTCTAGTCTTGGACCTAGCAACAGGCCTAGATAGAGTTCTCTCACAAAACTCCAAATTCCTTATTCACGTTCATAAGATATGTTAACCTGTAAGAGGCTGGAAGTGTCTCGTGAGGTCTGTGCATGCACGTACGTGCATACCAATACAGCATGCTGTAACGGACTATATAGCCACCAAGTATGTGATGTCTGAGAATAGGTTCAATGTGCCTGGTGGTGTTGTAATATTCTGGTATTTGTTAAATTTGGTGTTTTTTCTCCCCCTTCAGGCATTTGATCCCGTTAAGATGAGAACCAAGGGTACAGAAGCCGAGGTCTACATAGCCAAAGGGAAGCATTTGGTGGACCCTCCCAAGGTACGTCATATTCACACAGTTTTCACACTCATTTTAATCGAAAAATTGGAAAGGCTCGCAAAGTTTAGATGTGTATTTACAAACTAATAGGCAAAGTAGTAGTAGTATTTGCAGGTAATTATTAATAGAGAGAGAAAGCTAATTGTTTGAAGGTAGAGGTGTTGTGTAGCTCTAGGAGCTTAAACTCTGGCCCGCCAGAGAGGGTTGGACGACCAATTCTGTCGTGTCTCCTGGATATCTGGATTTACCAGAGGGCCACCATCTCCAGTGGGCACGATAGGCACAAGAAGCCAGCGGCTTGTCAATTGTCTCCCTATATTTCAATTATAACATCTTTCCAATGAAAAACATGTATACGAGTTAAGATGCAAACACGCCACGTAACACTTTAGATTACAGTAAAAACAGATTACTTTAAGGCAATCACCTTCTGCTGAGCATTATACAGGCTCAGAAAAAAACTTGTCTTAAAAAGAACTTAAAAACGTTCTTCTTAAGTTCTTATAACAAAAGTTCTTTTGTGTCTTGAGTACAGTAAGAGAACTGCATTTTGTGGTCACTGGCTGTCTGTCCTCTTGTTTCCGTCTCATAAATATTATTTTTGTTTCCTTGCAGGCAAAGGTTGGTGTGAGTGATGAGTGAGTGAGGCGGGACCAGGTGTCCTCCAACTTCTGCTTTCCTATTATCCTGATCTCACCTGTACCGCTGGGATGTGTGGCTGTACCAGGGACAGTTTAGTTAATGTTCTTGACAGATAACTTTCCTTTTATTCCCAGAGGTCTTATGGTATCTGTTATACCAATATACTTCAATGTCTTTGGCTGTCTTTGTCTGTCTGTCTTTGCCTGGCTGTCTGTCTTTCACTCCCTCCTGCCCTTCCTCTGTTTGTTTACTTAGTTGAAATCGATTAGCTGTGACCCTATTAAGGGGAAAATCTCGACTTATTCACGTCCTCTCTGGAAAAGGGAGAGATTCCAGTGTTGGAAAATTTCCAAAGAGGTTCCAGTATCGTATTCAAGAAAGTGGCAAAAGATGGCTACAGACCAGCGCTACTAGCGAGCATCCCCTGCAATTAAAAATCGAATTCAAAGTAGATCTTAAGAACATTCAGAACAGCTTAAGTATCCTCAAACATTGATTAAGCAAATTAAAATTCTGCTTGGCAAAACTAATCTAGACGAGGGAGAGGAATAGAGAAGTATACTTCAAGCATCAGTACTAGCTCATTTGTGTTCCTCCCTTGTGATATTTCTAGGAAACAATGTCCCCGTAACCAGGCCCTCTGGTGTCTGATGTGGTCAACCAGACTGTTGGATACTGCTGCTTAGTCTGACATGGGAATCATAACCCAGGTGATATAGTATGTTTACTGATGGTGTACGTCCTGGGCACACAACTGAGGGACTAGAGTTCAACCCTCAGGCAGGACAAACAGCTTCCTTAGCAGTAAGAGAAGTACTCAGGAGTTGGGCAGCTGTAGTTTGCATCCTTCTGAGGGTCAGCTGGCCTAGGGCGAACTCGATGAACCTAATTTAAGGCTTCGTGTCCCTGACAACGGGAAGTACTGGAGACTCGGAACAGGGAAAGTGTGATAACTTTCACAGTGAACTTGACACAACACGAGAGGAGGCTGAAAAATGCCTACTGGACTTCGACCCAGATAAATGCATACTACCAGAAACTGAAGAAAGAAGACTACTTACAGATTAAAGTAGAATTTACCAGAGTATGATTACAAAAGGAAATTGCCAAAATAATCAAAGGCTCTGTGTTCGAGGTTGGAAACGGCATCAGAGGAAGTTGTCGGCTATATTAGAGGAAATGTCTTACTTGTTACAATTGTTAACAACTGTTAAGGGTTGAAATAAAACTGCATGAAGTTAACGCATTTCCCACCTGCTGTGCAGTATACCCCCCACCTGCTGTGCAGTATACCCCCCACCTGCTGTGCAGTATACCCCCCACCTGCTGTGCAGTATACCCCCCACCTGCTGTGCAGTATACCCCCACCTGCTGTGCAGTATACCCCCCCACCTGCTGTGCAGTATACCCCCACCTGCTGTGCAGTATACCCCCACCTGCTGTGCAGTATACCCCCCACCTGCTGTGCAGTATACCCCCCACCTGCTGTGCAGTATACCCCCACCTGCTGTGCAGTATACCCCCCCCTGCTGTGCAGTATACCCCCACCTGCTGTGCAGTATACCCCCACCTGCTGTGCAGTATACCCCCACCTGCTGTGCAGTATACACCCCCACACCCACTGTGCAGTATACACCCCCACACCCACTGTGCAGTATACCCCCCACACCCACTGTGCAGTATACCCCCCACACCCACTGTGCAGTATACCCCCCCCCCACACCCACTGTGCAGTATACCCCCCCCACACCCACTGTGCAGTATACCCCCCCCCACCCACTGTGCAGTATAACCCCCAACTTTTACTCCACCATATAATACACATTAGGCATTTGGCGAGGTTTAAACACTATATACATCAAGTAATTCGTCAAGGTTCAACACGCATAGAAATCCAACATGTGTATTCTCGTATCTGAATATAACAGCAAGAGCTGTAAAGCTAAACATTGTATGATTGTGGATCACGAACATTATGCGGTCCTAAATTAACCCAAGAAGGAAATAATGAATTGATATCATGTCTTAACTCGTATATACCAAAATATTTACTAACATTTGAAAAATCTTACACATGTGCAGTACATATAAGTAAAAGATTTAAGAGCCTAAATAATATTTTACTAATGTCACGTATATTTATATATTTTTTTTTCTTGACAGCCCAAGAAAAAAGACTGGAAAAAGCAACACGAAGACTTCATCGCCACGATCCGCGCGGCCAAGGCTGGCACAGAGCCGCCGCCCACTGACAACTCTGACTACATTCCCTGCCCGCACTGTGGCCGCAAGTTCGCCGAGGCCGCCGCAGACAGACACATTCCAAAATGTGCCTCTATCCAGAGCAACAAACCTGCTGCCAACCGAAAGAGGTAAACACACACCTGCTGTCAACCGAAAGAGGTAAACACACCCCTGCTGTCAACCGAGAGGGGTAAAAACACACCTGCTGTCAACCGAGAGGGGTAAAAACACACCTGCTGTCAACCGAGAGGGGTAAAAACACACCTGCTGTCAACCGAGAGGGGTAAAAACACACCCCTGCTGTCAACCGAGAGGGGTAAACACACACACACCTGCTGTCAACCGAGGCAGGAGAGGACAACGTGGACAGAATAGGACATACCTCGACCAGACTGGCTTCAGTATAATATGGACAAAATCTACTGGTCTAATTATTTCGTTAAATCTTGTTTAATCCAGGATAGATTTAACAGAAAAATGTTAATTTTGAAAAAAGTTTACCAACATTGACATGAACTTGTATATTTGGTGTTTATAATGCATATACAAATTGAATAAAACACACATTGCTACTCATAAAAGAAGCATTTAATGTTATTTTTTGCTATAGTATGAGTTTGTAATATGTTTGGCATAGCAAATGTTAACTGGTACTTTAAACTTGTAAAGATATTGGGAAATGGCTCTAAATTTGATGGGCAAAAGTAGTTAACTGTAATGATGCTTTTGATTGATTGCTTTTTAATCACCATATAGTCTTGGTAATATAGCTGAATGACAGCAAAATATATCAACCCTATTTTAATTCTTTTAAGTCGTATATTTGCAGAAGTTTTCTTAGTCGATGCGAGTTAACATATTAATGGAATGAAATATCCAGTTTGTAATGGGGAGATTTTGTCCAGCCTATGTGAAATGACTGGAGTAAAAAAAAAAAAAATTAGTTTTGAGTAAGGCTGTTTCATTTTGTTATTTAGTATATGCTTCTTAATTTATTTCTGCTTTCTCAATAACATACGTGCTATAGATATCAGTGAAGAAATTTAACTATTGTACATACAAGACTAAACAGAGCCAAACGTATGAGACGAACACAATTAAGTTGACTGTTAAAACATCTTTGCTCAGATAAATATTTGTAAAATAGGATTTAAATACTGTATACTGTTGTGTGCGTTCTTGAAGTCATACAAAGTTTTGCATCGAAACTAGATTATTTTAGTACCATACTGTCTGTGATAACTCAATGTGGTGAGGAAAATTTAGACTGAAAAGAAATTTTGTTAGCAGCTCAATAAATTTGCTTCACAATTGAAAATTTCCTGAAAGGGATAAGCATTTAGGGATAAGTGTTGTGAATATTTTCCAGCTTGTAGCATATGGCTTTCAACAAATAAATTACTGGTCAAAATACCCCTTTGATTCTAGGAATCTAGTTCTTTGAATTCAAAGTTATACTAGATTTTTTAAATATTGTTAAGTCTATTACGGAGAGAATTGCCATACAAATTTAGGAGTTACCTATATTTTTTTTAATGTAATACTTGGAATACTGCTATTGAAGTAAAGCTTGCTACAGCTACTAGTTTTTTTATTTAATAGCTTTGTATGTAAAATAAATTTTACAATAAAATGTAATAACACACATCGTAAAATTATTTTAAATCCTTAATTTGGAGGTATAAGTTGTATTGATGAATCTCCTCTTCCCTCCAGCTCGTGATAGTCATCTCGAGCCAGTGTTCATGGCTCAAATCCTCTAACTAGGACTTGTGCTATGATTTTGAGGTATGTCGTTCCTCGTCCCCCGTTATCACTTTGATGATCCCCTTCTGTATAGGCACACTTCCCGGAAAGGAATTCCTTGTTCAGATGTCTACCCAGTCATTCATTCTGCAATCCGCAACCTTTGTCAAGGTCATTGGCGTTGCAGGTATTAAACTGCATACTTTAAGTGATTTTTTTCCCTTAGCCTTTCTCCTACAACGGCTACATTGCCAGTCTACTGCATCTTTTTGGTCACGCCTCAATTGATGGCGCGAAACGGCTTTGGTTAAGTTGCGGTTCAGTCACACTTGCTTAACTGTTGAAGACTTGATAGTACGTCTTGCTCCCTGTTGTCCTAACTGGAATGTTTAGATTTTCGGGATAATCGTAAGTTTTACTTGACTAATATCCCTCGATGTAATCAGAAACCCTTAATGTCACTCCTTGTGACCTCTTTGTCTCATATTGGCATCCCGAGTGACATTTATCACCTTCCGAATATCCAGCGATAGACAGTACTACATAGCCTTCCCTTCCCAGCCATATTGGTGTTTCTCTAAATGAGCGTGTGAATGCTGCCGCTAGAGGAGCTATCCACTCTTGTCCCATCTCCTGTAAAGGTATTCCTTATTCCGACTTTTACTCGGTTATTCATTCCTCCTTCCTTGCCTGTTGGCAGGGTTGTTGGTCTTCTGTTATTGGTAACAAACTGCGTACTCTTAAGCGTAGTGTGTCCACACGAGTTTTCCACCTACCACCGTAACAGACGGTGGGGAACTGCTCTCGCGAGGTTGCGTATTGGTCATACATGCTTAACTCGGTTACTTAATGGAGCGCCGCCCTGCTCCTTATTGTCCAAACTGCGTTGTCCCTCTTACAGTTATGCATATCCTTGTTGAATGTCTTGACTTCCAGGACGAGCGTGCGTCTTGCTTTCCGACCGTCTCTCGTGGTCACTTGTCCCTTCGATAGACTTCTTGGTGAATGGGATGCTTTTTGATATCATTCGCCTTATGCGTTTCTGTTCTCGGATTGACATCCTTGGTGATATTTAGCGCCCTCTGATTATTCCGCACATTTGATGGTGCTACATAGCCTTCCCGGCTTGGTGCCTTCTCTTGATGATTACATACACTGATGAAATTATTTGGGTAATTGTGATCGTTTTCTTAGTGACGTGCTACTGGAGGTCTCGACAAGTTGGGGTGACTGTTACTTGTGGTCTGAGAAAAAGTTATGGTGGTTACGTTTTCTGACACAACTATAGGAAATGTAACGCGTTTTGCTTGCGTAACAGCTTACTGCAAGAAAGTTACAGCCGATTAGTTAACGCCGTAAACAACTGCCAAGTGATCAACATTTGAGTAAAGCCTCGCTGTTAAGACCGACATGTCAGTCACTGACGCAATCATCGGGGGAGAACCGGCACCTGCCATAAGAGGTTTTCTTTTTATCAGGATGAATGAGTATCCTTGTGGCTTGTCGGTAAGCTTTTGTAAGTCTTAACGCTTCCTCAGTTGAATATCTTACGCCCTACAGTAAGCCAATGTTCATTTATTCGTTTTCAGAACAGTAGGTAATGTCAGCAATTAGGGATGTAGTTTGATTAATCAATTTGGGACAACCGGTACATGAAATCTTGGGGAAACTTGTCAATTGGAGGTGCTACATAGCCTTCCCGGCTTGGTGCCTTCTTTTGATAATTACTTGTCAATTGGAGGACCTTTGACAAGCCGTAGAGTGTCTTGTCCTCGTCAATGTATGGTGTATAGCCAAATCGTACACAAGATGGAAAAAGCTCGTTTTTTTATTATCTGAACCGTATATATATGGTTAGGAAAAAACACAAGGACTCGGTTGTGCTTGCGGGGATTCAACTTCGGCTCTTTTGGTCCCGCCTCTCAACCATCAAGCAACTGTTATATAGGTTCATGAGCCTATTGCACTCTCTATCATATTTATTTCTGAAACTCTGTATGGAATTTTTGCTCCACCACCTCACTTCTAGTGCTTTTCATTTGTTAACTATTCTGACGGTCTAACTTCAGGCAGATCGGCGTTCAATCCCCGACCGTCTGAGTGGTTGGGCACCATTCCTCCCCCCCCCCACCGTCTCTCTCCTTTCCCAACTCCTTATTCTCATCCCTTCCAAGTGCTATATATATTGTCGTAATGGCTTGGCTATTTCTCCTGACAGTTATCTTTCCTACTCTGACACTGGATTTTTTTGTTTAACGTTTCTGTGGCTGATTTGGATATTCGGGTTCAAGGTGTCCCCTTGTTCGTGTTCCCTCGTGCTAAATAATCCGTCTTTATGTACGCTGTTATTTCCTGTTGAGAATTTTATAGGTGATAATCATGTCTCCCCTAACTCTCGTCAGCCAGTGACGTGAGGTTAAATTCCTGTAGCCTTTCTTCATAGCTTATACCTCTCAGTTCCCGGACTAGTTTTGTGGCATACTTCTGAACTTCATGTAACTTCATCTTGTTTGACTAGATATGATCTGCATACTAGAGACGAATTCTTCAGGATTGGTTTGACGCATATGATATACAAGGTCCTGAATGATGCCTTGTACAAGTTTCTAAAGGCAGGTCACATGTTGGCCAACCTAGCATATGCTGTCGATGATATCCTTCTGATGTGGGCTTCTGGAGACAAGTTCTGTTTGATATTAGCCTCCAGGTCTCTTTCTCTGCCTGATTCTTGAAGGATTCGTACCTTGTGTCTGGCCTCTTGCTCACTACACCTATTTCATTAGTTACTCCTACTTCAGTTAAACGCTAGTAGGCATATACTAGACCATTCCTTCAGTTTGTCTAGGTCATGGTTTAAGTTCGGCTGCCTTTGTCTCAATCCTCATCATTTCTAGATCGTTAGGAAACATGTAGGCTGTAGGTTTTAAAAGCCGTTGGCGAACCGTCTTGTGAACGATATGACTTTCTTGCATCCCCAGCAATAGTAGCCGTCAGATACATACTGGAACAAACAGGAACATCAATTTTCCTCCAGAAATTGGCGTAGTTTTCTTTGATGTGCCGTGAAATGACCCGTTTTCTATGTCGTCGCCAGCGGTCGAAGTCCGGGGCGTCTGGCGCCGGGCGGGTATGCTAGGGAGGCGATAGTTGCGTCAGGGTTATGAGGCGCTGGTGCCAGTTGTAGCAGCATGCAGTCAATACCACCGGCGTTTTCTGGCGTCAAAAGGCACCAGTGCGAACATTACATCTTTTGTTTGGTGCTACCAATCCAGCGGGTTTTTCCATACTCACGGAACCACCAGATGAAGTAGTTAAAGTGCAATTAAATCGACACAAGATTTCAAATAAGCAATACAACATAAACCATTTCTTTATATTCGCCTTTTGATTTGAAAATAACAATATAGACATTATAGATCCGGTAATTTAGGAGGCGTGGAAGGGTGACCCGCCAAGGTAATCTGGCAAAGCTGGTGCCAGCGACGGTAGCGGGAGTGCCAACCTGGGCCGGCCGTCAGTGTGCCGGCGGCTGACGTAGGGTGCATGTTGGGCGGGGTGTGAGTGTGCTGCTTACCGTGCTCTCGTGTGGCTGGCCCTCTCGCTCGACCTGTAGTTTATTAGCCTCCACGCACGGATTACCGCAAGATCTCCGCTTGCTGAGCACACACGCATCCACAGCAGGGCTCCTGCTAGCCCGAGGTGCGCCACCCACTCTCCCCCGCCCATTGTTAGCCACATAGCCAACTTTTCAACTAGCCCGAGTCAGAGTTACTAGCTCCATTTTAGTATCAAGTCAGGAATTTGTCCATTTGTGTAGATTTTTTTAATTGTTAGACAACTTATTTTATCCAAGCCAGAAGATCATATAAGCAACTGTTTGGATTTTTTGTAGCTGAGTTTAGTTTGGATTTTCAAATATATTTGTGAAATATATATGAAAAGATTTGTTTAATATCTACAAGGATTTTTATTATTAGGTTTGACTATAACTTCAAGTAATGTCAATTTTCAAATATTTTTATATTCATTGCATGATTTTCCATGTTAGATATAAGCTTCATTTTCTATGCTGGAGAATCATTACCCGCGACCTACAGGCGATTTTGCCATACAGGTATCATTTGGGCAATTAAGCATAATTAAGGTATACGCCTTAAGGAAGGTAAAGTTTATAAGGTAGGCTATTCGCTACTCTTAATAAGAGACGCCATATTGTCACAAATAATATTATTATCAATATTAGTATAGAAATACAATCAGTATTTCGATAATAAGATTTATTAGGTAGTCACAGATCAGCTGTGTCTCGGGGGCGTTCAGAGCGAGGACGGACCTAAACTTTGTCCCCAGTAAGCTCACATTTTTATCACTGATCGTGAAATTCTCTCACTAATGCAGCGTTGATAGGAATTCTGCGTTCATATTTAGCCGTTCGTTAGTTAATAAACCTTTTGGGTATTGTTTTATAAAGATTAGGGCAAAATCGCGGTTAGAAGCCCGGGTCGCGGATAGCTAATGTTCACGCATCGATCTGCGCACTATTCTAGAATAGGTAGTGAACCACGGACTCCCGCGTAGAACCACTCACCAGCCACCGTTTTTAACCTCCAACCAGCAGCCAGAGGCTTCGAATCACCCACACAAAGCGTGGTTCGCCTCGTTGTCTCAAGTTCGACTATCGATTCGCCTTCGAGAGAGAGAGAGTCGAGGACAGGAGCGTCCCCGCGCCTGGTGCGGGCGTCACCACCACCTCCGCCAGGCCCGCGGGCCGCTGTATGATCACCTCCTCCAGCTAAAGGTAAGCACTCACCTGAAACAAAATAAAATTTGTGGGTTCTTCTTTCCCCTCTTACCATGTTACCGTTGCAAACACTGTGGAAATAGTGGAATGTAATTCGT